GATGAAGAAACCAATAAGGAAAACTAAAAAAACATACATGCTCAATGTGCCTGAAACTTTCTAATTATTTCTGATTATTGATTATTTTTCATATTTCAAATATTGCAATAATAGTAAAAATAAACCTTTTTCATTGTAATCTTGCATTTACAACTCATTTTTTGTGTTAGAATGTACAGTAGCAATGGTTATATTAATAAATGTTCATAATAACCTTATAATTATTTGTTTTATTTATCCCATTAATTAAAGAATTTTCATTAAAAATAATTGTTTTCTACACTTGCCATGAGATATACTATTAAATAAAATAAATTTCAAATCGAGCGGCTGATGGGCGAAAAATGGCCTTTATCAACCCTCCTCCTTTCGAACTAATGTTCGAAATAAGAATAGTGATATTTGGTTGCTTAAATAACTTTAGTTGTCTATTAATAAAACCTGATAATTTTGAAGCTTTTTTTATTATGTTATCAAAATGTTGCCTGAAACTAAGAGAACTATCGAATATAACACCCAGGTCTCGGATACTTTTGACTTCTTGGATAGGTAAATTATTAATATGATATATAACTGGTTCAGAATTAATTTTTCGCGAAAATTTTAAAAAGAAACACTTCGTGGAATTGAGATACATTTGATTAAAATTACACCAATTGACAATAAAGTTTACATCTGTTTGTAAAATTTCCTTATCAGAATCATCATTCATAACACGATAAACTTTTAAGTCATCGGCAAAAAAATTAAAATTTGATTTAATATTATTACATAAATCATTAATAAATATTAAAAATAGCAATGGGCCAAGATGTGACCCTTGGGGAACTCCAGAAGTTACTTCGCACTCTTCTGATTTAAAACCACGAATATATAATAACTGCGAGCGGTTCTTTAAGTAAGATTCAATCCATCTTAACAAACTACCGTGGATACCCATATTCTCAATTTTCTTTAACAATAATTTATGATTCACTAGATCAATTATATATATATATATATTATAATTGTGCTTCAAGTTTTATTTTATTGTAATGTCTATAATCTATATATAAATAGTCAAAGACAAATAAAAATCTCGTCTATATGTCAACCAATTTTCTTTAATATTATTAATAAAAAAAAGTTTTCTTTTCTACTTTTTGACGTCAACACTCCTATCTACGCCAGGAACTAGCGGAATAACTAGGCGAATGTAAAAGAGTAGAAATAAAAACTTTAAAACGACTTCGAAAATATCTGATTAGGTATCTATTCTAAATGGAAACCCCCGTTTAGTCATTTTTTACATTTTAGTGCCTGGAAGTCGGTTTTATTTTATTTTTTTAAGTTTTTATTTTTATACTTTTAGTGTAGACGTAATAATCAGGTAATTTGTAGGAAGAAAGTTTTTAATAACATGTTCGATTAAACAATTTGTTTAAAAAAATATTTATTGTTGGTTTTTTTAAAAACCGCTCGACCGATTTCGATAAAATTTATATGGGACCACCTGAGAAGTTTACCCTTTCAAACAAAAAAAAAATTCCAAATCGGTTCAGGCGTCTTGGAGTAATCGCTGAACATACATAAAAAAAATGATTCCGACAAATTGAGAACCTCCTCGTTTTTGGAAGTCGGTTAAAAAAAAGATTCCGACGAATTGAGAACCTCCTCGTTTTTGGAAGTCGGTTAAAAATGTAAGAAAAAATGTAAATTCATGTAATATGCTTGCCTCAAACTTTAAAGATTACGTTTGAATTTCAGTCAGGCACTACACTAATAAACTGAAATCAACCAAAAACAATAATCTATTTTTTTTTAATTATTATCAAAGTTTTCATAGTACCTCCAAGTATCTTGGAAACTTGCTACTTTAGGATAGCATATATAAGTTTTTTTTTGTTTTAGTGCCTTTATCCAAGCACAACAGTTTTATCCTGCGTTACTGACTTCCATAGAAAGATGTTAAGTTCCTTACCAAATAATATTTACCTAAAAGATGTTATATCTTACTATAAAATGTTCTATACATATCATATAGCATCAATTATCTCTATGTACACTGTATAGGTATAATTAAATCAATTTTTTTTTATATTATTACCATTTAAATAATACTGTGTTCTGTTTTAAACATTTCAACGCAGAACATTTTAGTAAAAAAGCCCTCGTATCATCCGCCTGTCACAGACTATATTTTATGAATTTTCTAAAACTAACTACTATAATTAAATTTGGTAAATAGTTTTAAATTAAAGAATTCATATTAATATTAAATAATAATTTTAGAACATTTATTTTCATTTACGATTGAGAATTTCTCCGTTTCTTTTACAAATTCAAAATTAATAATTTAAAAGATATTAAATAAAATATCCTAGCATTTTATATAGATATTTTTGACTGAATTTATTCATTGAAACAAAAAGGGTGACACTTTACCACTTGAAAACTAATTACAAATATGAAATTTTCACTAACTCCCTTCTACACAACGTCTGTAGGTGCGTTACACGAAACTGACGAGCCAGTGTTTTTATTGCGCCAGTCATTACGGGGTCCATCTATCAATAAAAATTGCTGTTTATTTGTTTTTATGGCGGTATATTTCAATTCTATGTCGCTCTTGCGAGAGACGCGCATCTGTTCTTTGCCCTGTAGATCGAAAGATGACAGCTATTGTGCGGGGCAATAAAGGAGATTTTATTGTTTTTTTCTTACTGAAAAACATGTTTATGACATCAACTAAATTGTTGTACGCTTAGTTTGATTTGTGGCATTACCTGTTTATTTTTTTTTAATATTTGGTTGTCAAATTTTATACAATTGTAATTTTATAAAAGAAGAATTAATAAATGTAAATTATAGTTTTAAGAAAATTCTACAGAGTTTAAAGTAATCATAGCGTTCGTAGTCGCGATAATATTATAAAATGTATAAAATGTTAGTACTAATAAAATTTAAATATTAATAGAAAACTTTGTGGCTTACTTTTTGTATTTAACGTGTAGTACAGTTTTCTCAGAGATGAGATATTTTCCCACACTAAAAAATATCCTATATATTGACCCCGATAACCAGCCATCATCATACCAAATTCCATCAAAATCTGTCCAGTGGCTTTCGCGTTCTCAGACAGACAGACAAAATTTTTAAAAACTATAGATTCGGCCTCTTTATCTATAATAATGACTATTTCAATAAGAAAATTCATTTCATTTCAATAAGATTTTCCAAAAAATATTTAATGTACAGATTCCACTCAGTTAGAATATTATTAATATTTCATTATATGTATATTCTTTTCATTAAATATCGTTGAAAGGTCACAAATTCTCGCAATACTGTAACACTTCCTCTTATAAACTAATATAATCAAGCATATTTACTTTCATTTCACAAAAACCAGTTACGTCAAAACCATCGTTGTTTAGTGCAAATTAAATGTAATTTAGCCCTCAAAAAGCATTCGTACATTCCACAACAAATTCTGTACTAAATTGGCGGAGGTTCCTGAATCGGGGCCGATGTTTATTTTGAGGGGAAGAATTGAGTAAAGTAACCCATTTGAATGCATGCTTGTCCGTCACTCAGAGCGATATCAGACGAAGCGAGCGTGGTGCGCTATACCAACCCCCCACTATATCTTGACACCCCCAACCCCCTACCTACCCACACTTTGTAGGTTAACCGCGTTGAATGACCACGTTTTGGAGCTCTAGTTATTCTGGCTCTTGAATTGAACGGGCTAACTTGTCACATACGCGATTAAGCCTGATTGTGATGTAGGCTCACGGGATAACTGTTGATTTGATTTTATGTTACATCGAAACGTCTGTTTGTGCGTTTATAGCTTATAAACTCTCGTTTGGATCGAACTGTATCGACAAATAAAATTGGCTGTTAAACGATTATGATTGTGAATGTATGCAGCTTTTGCTTACTGTTTTAGGTGGTTATATAATCGTTTATAAAGTTGTTACATGAAACGTTATAACAGTACGATTATAACCTTTAATGTTAGAAGGTTTTAATATCTTTATTCTTTAACACTAACGTCGTTATGAGGTATTATTATTATAATAGAGCTCTCTTGTTATTTTTTCTTGTTGTGTTATTGTAAAAGTCTAAGATTTTTTTGTAAATATCTATTTCTATATATATAATAACATTGTAACTAAGCCGAATCTGTACATTAAATATTTTTTGTAAAATCTTATTGAAATAACCATTATAGTCGATACAGAGGCCGAATCTATAGTTTTTAGAATTTCTGTCTGTCTGTCTGTTATCGCATCACAGAAAAACCACTGGTCAACATATAGGATACTTTTTACTGCGGGAAAATGTCTCATTTCTGAGAAAAAATACAAAAACTGCAATGTAAGAGTATACTAATATGTAAAACCTAAGAAATTGGTTATTGCACATCTGAACGCGGGCGGAGCCGCGGGCAATGCTAGTTGTAAATAAGTTTTTAACACATGCATTATGCTTTCTTTCATTCATGATGCAATCAAACAATTACAATTTTTTAGTTTTTTCTAGATTAAATTATATATTAATCAATAACTCAATGAAATATATGTGATTTAAGCAAACACAACATCTTCAATAATCTGTAAGGGCAACTCTATAATTATAAATTAGATTTATACACTACGTTTAACTATAACACAAAACAAAACTAAGATAACGCTTCATCTAACCCATTTTAAAAACAAATATAAGATTATTTAAAACGATCAGAATGGAGAAAACATCGCAGTCATCATAAACAAGAAACGCGGAACACATTACACTGGGCGAACTTTCTAGAAACCGCCCGCCCTCAAACGTGCGATAAATAAGGGGGACAAAACAAAAACTCTCAGAGCCATCACCTCTGCACGTCACCCTGCTCAGATTTCATTACCATAAAGAACTAGAAGCCTTAAAACCCCCTAGCAGTGTAAAAGGTGACATACACCGACCAGTTTACTTTGACCCGCCGTCTAACACGACACTCCCCCATTTTATTCTAGAAATTTAGGTGTCAAGACGGGGTCGGAGGACCAAGGTAGATAGGGCGCTTGCAATCCCAAAGCGGGCCGGGCCCCGCGTCGAAATGTGCCGTAAATCGTCATAAAACTGTCTGGGCCCATGATGTGACGCTGCCCCGGGGTAATTAAAGGACAATTTATAGTTTTACCCGCTTCCCCCTTTCGTGGAGTCGACCACCCCTCCTCGGATGTCGAAACGCGTCTATTTAGTTTTTCTTCAATGTTTTTCCTAATGTACCCTGAAGGTTTTTGTCTAATCTATTTATTACTTTTAAGTTATTATTCAAATAGGTTTTATTGTGAGTTGTATATTTATTTTATTGAAGTTAGATTCGTGCAAAGGTTTCAAAATTTTCAGCCCGAGTTGGATCTAAGGTGTGATTTAAGCTATAAGTTAAAGTGAAATATTCTGTAAGGTTTTTTGTACTGATTTAGAACTTATTTCATATTATATGTTCAGTGTTTATAGATTACAATTCTAATTGATACTGCTAATGTAAGACAGATTTCAAATGTGTATTATACTGTAACAAAAAGCTACGTCGTTTATGACCTAAAGTTAAATATATATTTAAATATTATGCACATAGTACGTATGTGTATAACTTCAGCTACTCTTTCCTTATAAATTATATTGCAAACGAGGTTTTTCATAATAATATAGTGCTTCTAGGTTTTGTTCATAATTTTCTTATGTTGTCGCTGTTTATAATATAATTAAGAAGTCTTGTTAGCCTTTAACTTGGTTCCCAATGCAATTTAGAACTAACCTGTAATACTAATTTATAATTGTTTTAAAAAAATTAAGTTTTTTTTTAGAAAAAAACGAATTTTTCTTTTACTTTGAATTTAGTTTTCTTGACATTTATTTTTTATTAAAAAATACATTAGAAGATCCAAAAACATAATACATATTTAAATTCTATAGTGGCTGTATAATATCTAAACAGCTTTCCTTAATTAACACCTTAGAAGATTTCGTTAGAAAAAAGTGCAGCTCAAGAGCTTCATAAGGGGGATACATGTGGGATGAACCATTGTGATTTATACTGGTGGATCAGACCGTTCATGTTTAATTAGGTGTTTTGTTACGTTCAAGAGGGGTCAATGTATGTATGTTTGCATGTGTTGATTATTACCATTAACCATCATTATGTTTAGGGATGTTTGTGTTACTCTGCTAGATTGTCGTTTTTACTGTCTAAAGCAAATATTTACATAAATTAAGTATTTAATTATAAAGTGAAAACGCAAAATGATCTGTATTGCTACTAGTCTAATCTTTTGTTTACTCAAAATTATCTATACATAAGTATAATAAAATTCTGAGTCGAATCTGTACATTAAATATTTTTTGGAAAATCTTATTGAAATAGTCATTATTATCGATACGGGGGTCGAATCTATATTTTTTAGAATTTTTGTATATCTGTGTATCTGGGAACGCATCACTAGGAAACCACTATACAGATTTTGATAAAATTTGCTATGATAATAGCTGGTTATCCGAGTCAACATATAAGATAATTATTACTGCAGAAAAATATCTCATCTCTGAGAAATCTATACTAAACTTTAAAACCTAACTAGGAGCTAAGACAATCGGAGCGAGGGTGAATCGCTAGTATATAACAATAAATATTAATTTTAAATGACTATATAAGCTAGATTGTGTCGCCATAAATATGTCATCTGCTAATAATATAGTAATTTATAGATCGTCCTATTCCAATAGGCACTGATAATGAAAGAAAAGCTAAAAAATCCAATTTACTTGCAAACCCGTCTTAAAAAACACAAAAAAAGTCTGTTAAATAAGTAAATTATCATAAAAACTCATCGTAGAACTGTTTACATAATATCGAAGCAAAAACACGTAGCGTCGTAGCCGCGTAGACGCACTACATCAACCCTATTCAGACGTAACGAAATAAAGAAAATCATTTTAATATCCGTTCAATAGTATTGAGCCTTATTTATAATACCAATAACACTTCAATAATGACGAAGTGTTTCGGACCAGTGTATCCTGAACTTTAGATGAATCCCTTAGATTATATAGTCTAAGAGAAAGCGGACACATTACGCTTATTAAGAAAAAAAATTGTACAGAGACTAAAATTTATATCTGAATTAGCAACTCACCTTCGATCCGTTCGGGGCCGTCATTAGTTACATTATAACGTTTAGCTCAGAGATGAGATATTTTCCCGCATTAAAAAAAAAGTTAAATTGCCGAACAAAATATGCGTACCTAGGAACGCACTCGAGCGAATCGAGGGTAAGTCGCTAGTTTATTATATAGTTTAAAACACCTTAAATAATTTAATATATAGTAAAATAGCTCAAATTTAAGTTTAAAACAGCCTTAAAAAATAAAAAAAAACGGTCTAATATTTAATTTTTTTAAACTTTGATAATAAGGTGATGGAAATAAAGTTCATTATTATAAGACCTCCATTAAATATGAGATGTTTTTAATTACTGACCTCTACGCCAAATGTTTATCAAAGTAAATTCATGTACAAATTTGTTTTTACAGCAAGCCCTCGGTCTATATTGGGGGGTCCGCATCTGGTTGCCGTGACGATATCCACGATTTATAGTTAGAACAGGACAACTAGGGTTCTTGCTGGTCACGTACGGCCCCAATGATTTGGATGTCACGTGTGTCATTAAATTGATTTGCTCTGTAAGCGTTTATTGTTTAATTCAAACCACCTTCATGTATACTTTTGTTGATTAAATGTAATAAATTACTGTGTATAATTGCTTGATTTTTTTAATATTTTTTTTCACATTGTAGCTCTGAACAATATCGTAACTCAGTATTGGGATAAATAATAAATAGAAATTTATTTATTTGACGTATATTTAATTTTGCTTTTATACTGAGTTATACTTTTATTCGTCATAGATACATCTATGGAGATAAAAATGAATGTTCGTATGTTGGTCCTCTATGCGTTCCTAAACTATTGATCCCATTGTGATGAAACTGTGGTGGCTTAATCTGTATACGCCTGCGAATATTCCTGATCAAAAAAATGTTTCTTTAAACGATCTAGGAAGCACCCGCGTTAAACGAGGGTAAATTGCTAGAAATTTATAAAATGACTAGTTTAATAAATATCATTCACTTGCACTTAAAAATCCACATATTTTTATTTCAAAATGATAGTAATAATGTCAAATGAATGGAAAAAAAGGAAATGACTTATGGCAGTATGATCACATAAAAGAAAAAAGTAACGATGATTGAATGATTCCCCCGCTTACCCCCAATTCTCGTTCCATCCATTCAGTTGGAGATGAATGAGTTAACTCATGATCTTCGATATTATTTATACAAATTACTGCTTAAAAATAAACCTACCTTTTATATGACATCATATAAAAAAGTGTATTAGATTATTGTTATTAAAAAATATGCTGTATGTCTGTAATACAGCATGTTTTTTAATAATAATTTTATCCTTTATAGTTTACTAGCATTGCCCGCGGGTCCGCCCGCGTTCAGATGACCAAAAACCAAATTCTTAGGTTTTACATATTAGTATCTCTCTTATATTGCAGTTTTTGTATTTTTTCTCAGAAATCAAACATTTTGCCGCAGTACAAAGCATCCTACATGTTGACCCGGATAACCAGCTATCACCATACTAAATTTCATCAAAATCCCTCCAGTGGTTTTTATATGATGCGGTAACAGACAGACAGATAGACAGACAGACGGACAGACAAAAATTCTAAAAACTATAGATTCGGCCTTTGTATCGATAATAATGTTTATTTCAATAACATTTTCCAAAAAATAATTAATGTACAGATTCGGCTTAGTAAACTGTAACTAATTTAAAAATTATATGTATAGATTAGCAGGTGTTTTAGGTCTAATTTTAATTTCCGAAAAAGTACAACATTAGCTAGCATACAAAAAAATAACACTAAAAATGTATGTCAATAATAACAAAAGGAATTTATAACAAATAACAATTCACAGATATGGTTTCATAAACCTCATGAGAATTCGCCCCAGTAGTCACATTCGTAATGAAATTATCCATTAAACTCAACGGAGCACGTCAAACGAGTGGAGTTCTTGCTCATATCTCATCGAACTCCGAACGATTCAAAATTGACACCATAACAGTATATCATACCGTCCGTCCGTGCACAAGTTAGGTAATTAAAAGGGTGATCAGTTAAAATTATTATAGGTACTAAGAATGCACTGTGACTTTACTTGGAAATACGCTTAAGATAATGGATACTAAACTTATAATATTCCTTAATATCTAAGCTATCTTGATTTTTAATTTTTCTATGCTTATTATGTAAACATTACATTACTTTCTTAGATTTACGCGAATATTTGACATCTATACATATAATAAAATTCAAACTAAGTCGAATCTGTACATTAAATATTTTTTGGAAAATTTAATTGAAATAGACATTATTATCGATACAGAGTCCGAATCTATTGTTTAAAGAATTTTTATTTTTCGGATTTTTTCACGGATTTATTTTGATTTTTTCTTTCTGACGTTTCGAATGCCTTACAGCAAACATGATCACGGAAAACACACATCTTTGACCAGCTAACGACACAAACTAGAAGCTTTTCATGAATTCCACTATACACTTCGCTCGGGGTTTCATCGCCAGATCAACTTGGCGGCGTAAGTTGCAGTATCGTACTTACCTACTGTATGTAAATCAAAGATTAATATATAATCTACATATATTCACATAATACTTTCTTAGATTTACGCGAATGTTTGACATTATTAAATAAAACTATCTTTTCGGATTATTTCTACCATGGATGCTGTAAAGCATTCGAAACGTCGGGAACCAAAAATCAAAATAAATCCGCGAAATAATCCGAAAAGATAGTTTTATTTAATAACTACATATATTCACTTAAAATATATCAATTCAGAAGATTTGATTACATAATAATGAAAAATATAATATAAATAAAAATGAAACTTATAAAAGCATGTTTATAAAACACCCAGATTATACTAAACTTTTAAGTATTATATCAATTACCACATACATTTTAAATAAACTTCCAACTTATTTAACGATGAAGCAGCAACTCGTAATGAGGGTAGTTTGTTAAAAATTGAGATAAGTAGTGAATTTATTAAGTTTTTATCAGAAACTCATAAGGCTAATTACCGTTGGACTCGTGCGGCAACATTGTAGAGATTGGGAGACTTGTGTCTTTAGGCCGTTAAGTTTTATTTTAATGCAGTGGCGGCCAATCCTAAAAATCTTTATTATTTAAATATTACAGAAAATAACACTATATATGCAAAATGCATGTTTTTTCTTTAATCTCTTACCGCTGTAACAGTCGAATTAAATTAACAATGGAAATACTATAATGGAAATATTGATGGAGCTTACTACATAAACCAAGAATATTTTTTTTTACTACGATTCTTCAAGTTCTTACTATAATCTCTGTTTACTTCAGAAACTGTTTGTTATAATACATTTAAATATAAATCTAGAACATTTATATTAATTAAAAAATGAGCAAATTCATACCAAATGTTCACGAATCAAGTTCTTATAAGATAGCGAGTTCGCAAGCGAATCGCAATCAACATAACTCAGCTAATAACTAAAGAATATTTAGATACTTTGCAAGTTTTTAATAAAGTCGTAACATAAAATAAACATAATATTGGCTTTGAGTTCTTTTTAAAATGCCTTTGTTAATACATAATATATGTACTTATAATAATCTGCCTGTTTTTCTGATGTACCTAGTTGGTAATAGATTTTTCAAAGGTTGGTAATTTCTTTCGTAGTCTTAGATGACAATATGATAAAATGATTAATTTTAGTAGAATTTTACCTACCATTAAAACTCATATTATGTCCGGAGCCTTATTCGAGGCTTTATAAACAATATTGAGATGACATCTTCAGTTTCCGGCCGCTTTTAGTCGTTGTAGTTCCCTTAAACTACGAAAATATGGTAACTTCCGGCCGCCATGTTCACCAGGTAAGCGGCATCGGCCATTGGACTACATTGGCGTCTTTTCGTTCTGTTAGCGTTTGAGGGATTTGAGGGAATTTAAAAATGTTGTCCAACAAAAAAGCATTTGTTCTATAGTTCGATCTACAAATATTACTTAATACCTATTAATCTATACATAAATAATAAAATTGTAACTAAGTCGAATCTGTACATTAAATATTTTTTGGAAAATCTTTTTAAAATAGTCATTATTATCGATACAGAGGCCGAATCTATAGTTTTTAGAATTTTTGTCTGTCTGTCCGTCTGTTTGTCTCTCTGTTACCGCATCACGAAAAAACCACTGGAGGGATTTTCATGAAATTTGGTATGGTGATAGCTGATTATCCGGGTCAACATATAGGATACTTTTTACCACGGGAAAATATCTCATTTTTGAGAAAAAATACAAAAAACTGCATTGTAAGAGTATACTAATATGTAAACCCTAAGAATTTAGTTTTTGGTAATCTGAACGCGGGCGGAGCCGCGGGCAATGTTAGTGATTTATAAAATTAGCTAACTATTTATATAATTTAGATTTATTATATTTAGCTTATTGTTCTTACCAAACAAGGGTTTTAACGCCATTCTTGGAGTTGAATGTTAACTAAATTAGAAATTCAAAGAGATCAAAGCACAAAAATGTTCTCAGATAAACCTTCAGACCCTAGATGGACATAAATAACAGCCGTCTGGATTGTCAACCGGCCCCTAATTTACTGCTAGTAATTAGGAGTTTGCACTTTGCCAAAACGATTTGCATCGATCCACTCAAACGACTTATTATTGCTATGTCATCTATGAATACTTTTACCATTAAATATTTAAAAAATATAAAATTTAATATAAGTTTTTAATACATTTCTTAGAGCGCGAAAATATTTTTACTATGTCGTACAGTTTATATTTAAATAGGATATTATTTTTTTTATTTTAATTAACATGTCTAATGCCAAAAAAGTAAACAGCTGTTTCTTATTAGTTTTAATAACTATAATTATATTTATTATTACATAAATGTTTTCATTCTATAAAATGGTTAATTTATTTTATATTTTAATGTAAATTAATATTACAGATTTTTTTTCGTTAAATGAATATAAAAAAATCAGCATAGCGCCATCTTACAGCATGGAACGAAACCGTTAAAAAAAGTAATACTACCGTTGAGTCGTTCACATTGTAGTTCAATTATTTTTGAATAGATGGCGAAACGAGTAAGTTAAGCTAAAATTATATTCACAATTTTTGAATAAAAATATAAATATAATTAATACTTAAAAGCGATAAAATGTATCATATTTTTTTACTGTAATTTTTTTTTCATTTAATGAATCTTTGATAATCGTCATACGGAACGTGGTATTGCTTATCAAGTTTCACAGTCAACGTCAAGTTTCCCGCGCTTTTTGGGCATATTTACTTTAGCTGTCAATAACAATTTATGAAAGTTAAAACAGATTTTATATAAAACTGTGTAAATATTTTATTTTTTAGTTCAAATGTTATAATATATCATTTATAGGCTAATTTATAATATAAAATTATTAAAATGGATCCCTATGAAATAGAATTTATAGGTGAAAATAGGATTGCTAGCATTATTCCAAACTTTTCATATAACAAAATTTACTTGATATGTGGTGAATTTGGACCTTTTCGAGCTGGTTTACCGATGAATGTGCCGCTTTGGTTAGCTGTGATGTTAAAACAAAAGCAAAAATGTCGAATAGTGCCCCCAGAGTGGATGGATATGGAGACTTTAGAAAATATCAAAGAAGAGGAAAAAAAGTCAAGGTAATGTTTTGTATATTAAACCAAAATTATTTGAAATAAATCAAAATAATTTTGTTTTTATATTAAATCCTATTTTGTTAAACAAATTACTTACCTTAGAAATTGATGCTATTGTTACACTCAATTCTAGCATGTTTTTTTTGCAGATTTTTTACAAAAATGCCCAATGAACATTACATGATCGAAGCAAAACTAATCCTAGGTACAGCAGCAGAAGACATACCACATGCTGCTGAGATAAAAACTATTATTAAAGATATTTGGGACATTCGCATGTCAAAACTCAGGACTTCAATGGATGCCTTAATGAAATCTGGAGGTTCTTATGGTAGATTGGATCATTTAACTATGATGGAGATAAATTCTGTGAAACCTTTATTGCCAGACGCTATGGATCAATTGTATAGAATTAAAATGGTAATATTTAATATGATTTAAATTTTTATTAATAAGATTTATAATAGCCTATTTTGACTATACTAAAACAAAATTAATCAACTTTTTTCAAAAATAGCTTAAATTATTGATAGTATTATTAACTACAAAATATTCTTAAAAATTTTAAATTTAAAGTTGTAATTATAAAAAAAATTATCATGATATAATCTCTATGCTAAAAAATTATGCATAGACAAAAGAAGTCATTTATATCTTTTAATGTTTCAGATGAGCCGAAAAACTATACCAGCCAGTTTAAATACTTCAACATTGAGCCAATCAGGAGGCTCACAAAACTCATGACATAAAGTATTATAATTTATGTATATAGTTTTGTTACACAGGTGATTTAAGTTATAACATAAAAATTTATATACCACTGTATGTGATGCATATTTGGAATGAACTATTTGTCACTTCTTATAATCTACACTAATATAGTAAAAAGTAACGATTTTTTTGCTTGTTTGTACCAAATAGGCTCTGAATCTACTGAACTGATGTAGATGAAATTTGGTAAGAACATAGTTTGAGGCCCTGGGAAGGACAATGAATAGATTTTATCCTGGAAGTCATCGGTTAAGGGGCAGAAAGTTTGTATGGGAAAGCAACCCATTGAGCGAAGTGAGGGCGAGAGGCTTGTACTATCTACTATGAAATATTGTTACATTAGCAATTTATTTTACTTTTTAATTTGCAGATATAATGGACACCATGTCACTGCCACAGCTAAAGCGAAACAAAGCTTTAGGCTATCCATGTTGTGCAAACACTAAGTATGACTGTTCCATTCACAACCAAGACCAATGGGATATCAATTCAACACAACCAGTGCAAGATCAGGCACAGGATCTATGTTTTTATCGGGGTCTCTGAGGCATGGTATAATTGCAACTTCCCAAATTTATTAGCAGAGAAACTCAATAACTATATGTGGTCCGAGTTCTGACCTACATGCTCATTATTTGAAAAACATCCAAAACAAAAATGCTCCTAAAGGTAGCGGGATAAAAAGACATTTAGGATATTTTTCTACATTTTTCTCTTTATTTAGGCTGAAAATATTATTACTACCATATATAACTCATATTTTTATATATTTACAATATATTGTTAATTTGTGATAAAATAAATTAATTGAAGGTTTTAATATTTTTTTTTTCTTGTTTATTTTATATGTGAATTAGACATGGCCTGCTTTGTTAGAGGAGACCGTTGGGAACTATTCTGTATCAGAATAAGAGATAAGCGAGAATACCTCTGTCACACTCTATCTATACATTTAATAAAATTCTAACCGAGTCGAATCTGTCCATAAAATATTTTTTGAAAATTTATTGAAATAGTCATTATTATCGATACAGAAGCCGAATTTATAGTTTTTAGAATTCGTCTGGGAACGCATCACGAGAAAATCACTGGACGGATTATGATGAAATTTGGTATGATGATAGCTGGTTATCCGGGTCTACAAATAGGATACTTTTTACTGACTTTTTACTGTAAATATCTCATCTCTGAAAAATCTATAGTAAACGATAAAACTTATATCTAGTTATTTTATAAATATGGAAGATTGTAACTGTGTTCGTTTATCGTTTTGTTTGTTATAATGCTGTAACAGCTCAACGAATTTAAGTGAAATTTCGAATTTTCAGGAAACAATTTAGTTTTGCCATTTTATCACGAACAGAAAATAGTTCAGTTAAATGCCGATAGATGGTGTTATATAAATCAATTTCTTTTTGATTTTGTGTAAAATATACCCAAAAAGTATATTATATATTATGGTTTTAAAAATTTTAAGTAAACGAAAGTGAAATATTGCGCTCGCGTAAATTTACTGGTTGTTGAAAAATCCGCAAGAAGGTGAATCCTTTGGTTTTTAGTATATATTCATAGATAGCGCTTTTACTTTTTATGTATAATACTAACATAAATTTCACAATATTTGTCATATTTTACTTTACGAATATTAATAAAATAAAATAGAAAGTTTTCGTATTTATAACACCGATTATCTATTGAAGCAAACAAAAACAGTGAATTAGCGCCGTCCGATTTTTTGTATGGGTAAGGGCAGTGGTACTAGCATGGAACCTCATCAGGAACATGACAGAATAGTTCAAATAGATAGTATCGATTTGCTAAAAATTAATAAAATAAAAAAAATAAAAATTAATAAAGATTAAAAAAAACCAAAAAGGAATTTTCTATTTATGGTTTTAAAAACTTCTATATAAATTAAAATGCAATCTAGCGTTCGTTAATCAAATTTGCGTAAATTTACTGATATTCATGATTTTGACATATTTAGGTTTGTAGTTGAAACTTGAGTTGGTAGTATACACAGGTAGCGCTTTTACTTTTTATGATTATTTACTACTAGCGGCTAACCCTTACTTCGCTCAGGTTCGCTTCTAAAAAAACTAAAAGCAAATTATCCCACGGGAACCGTCCATTTTTCCGGAATAAAAAGTAACTTATGTGCTATTCTGATTAAGGAGTTATATTATTGTAAAGTTTCATTAAAATCCATTTATTAGTTTTCGTGTGAAAGTGTAACAAACACCATACATCCACTCAAACTTTCGCATTTATATTAGTAGGATTGTTAATATTTAGGTCATTTGTTATCCATATGAAAAATCTGCATTTATTGACTGAGTTTATGATGTTTAATCATAGATGGCACAGTTCGCAAATCTGAATTCTTTGTTTGGTTTTGTATTTTATCTTTGTTTATTTTACATATATTTTTTATAAATAATATTTTATTATTTTTATAAATAGGTGTCCCTACAGTAGTTAATAGTTATGTCCACTCCGCAGCTTCTGCAATAATTAGTGCCTGATGTCAATTAAAGTAGCCTGAAGAAATTTATCTATGTTTAATATTTATTATGATATATATTATTTTATATTTATACCGATAGGAATGGCGAAATAAGGCGTTTTACGGTTATTTAGCACGATATGAAAGTCTTGTACAAATCTGTATAAGTCTGTTTAAATAATAAGTAAGCATTTAAAACATTTTGCAGGCCTTCCATTTGTCCGTTCTTTCTGGATATATTTATTGCTCCCCGCTTACAAAGTTTCGAAAACAACATCTTAGTAATTAATCATTTAAACCTTATCAGTCTCATTGAAACTTAATGAGTTGTCACCTTATCACCTATCTAAGAACATGCACCAATCCAACTTGAACCCATAACTGAAAACCGCATCAAAATCGGACAAGTAGTTTTGGAGAAAAATGGCAACATGGATTTGCACAAACAAACATCCTCTCACAACAAACGCATATACCGTCTCCGTCCTGTCATGGGTAAAGAAATAATGAAAATCGATTTACTATAGACGATGATATCGGGTAGCATACCACACGAAACTCACGAATTGAATATCTCCTAATTTTTGCGATCAAAAATAGTTTTAAAGTACCTTTATAAATAAATAAAACATCTTATACTTTTATCGAGACATTTATTTATACATGGGCATATCAGTCATACATGCGGGCATTAAAACTTACATATAAGATATCTATCTTATAACTGCCAACGATGCTTGTCACAATCATGTATATTTAATCAACCATAAAAGAGCAACAGTTAACTAAATAAGGTACTAAAATACAGAAAAGTCATAAAATACTAACTTAGTTAAAAAAAGCAGTCACGAGGACTGCAGACAGAAGTGAAAACTTAAAACTATAAACAAACAGTTGTTATTTTTGGATATTTAAATTAATTGTTTGATCTTCAATTAAAATTTGTAAATTAAAACTGTTAACATTTATCTGGTTTTGACATCTATCGGCACTCTGAGTGTTAGCGTTAACACGTCACGTGACCATGTCGATGACGACTTACATTTTTTTTTTAATTAGAAATGGGCTCACTCTTGACCTTTATCTTAGCTCGAAGGCACAGATAAGGTCTACGATCTAGCGAGTTTACCCAGGAGAAGCCTGTTAACATGAATTTACTAACCATCCAAACCTGCCTATAAAAGTTTTCACTTCAAAAAAACTAGGAAAATCTAGAAAGAATCTAGCCTAGGAAATTATTAATAGAATGTTTAATAGAATAAGCTTTCGTTGCTTTTTAAAAGTTATTTTAATCTGTACTGATACAAACATATTGAAAAATGTATAAAGTTATTTTTTTAATTAACATTATTTTGTGTTGCTATAAAAATATTTTTTACAAGTAAGTATTATGGTAATCACTTAACCTATACAATATACATTAATAAAGACTATTAGAAAACTATATATTAAATATATATAATGACCTATACATATCAGGCACACTGCTTGAACAATCCGGGCTTAAAGTAATATTTTTTCTGGAATGTAACATTACAGTTGAAATTAATCAAAACCAAGCGTTTCCGAGAGATCCAAAAAAACTGAAATTCAACAAATTAAGTGAAGTTTAAAATAATTTCCATATAAAAAAAACGTGTGTGTGTACTTATGTACGCACGTAAGAAGTCATACTTCTTTGGCGTAACAGAACAAAAATAGCTAAAGATTTCATCCCGTGTGTCAAAACTCTCTGTTTGTAAAAGGAATGCAGCTAACTTCGTCATGTCGCTTTTTGGCTGTCGGTGTGCGGGCGCATCGTAAAAATTTTACTCTCATATTTTTTCCAAACGTGCCAAAAGAAGTATAACTTCAAAAATATACAAACGAAACTAAGTATGAAATATATACTTATATAGGTATAATTAATAATAACAGCTTAGCCGTGGTCATTCGTTTGCTTAACTTTGCCAAAATAATGTACAATATGATTATTGCTTGCAAAGTCATCAAAACACTTTGGTCTAACTCCAGCTTGTAAACACACAGAAATACGAAGTTTTTTTTATATTTACAAAAAAATATATATTTACAATTCATATAAATTAGTCAGAAATTATATACAAAGATCTGCCGATACGATGTGACTGAACCGTTTTATATTTGAAGCTAATGCATTTTTTAAAGCGCCTTAATTCAATATCTGAAGGCCAACAAAAACGCAGTAACCGTAGTGATGTCAACACACAATTTTTGCAGGATCCTATAAAAACGTGTGTAGGTATATTTAAAAATATATGGCACAAATTAAAAGTAAAGACAGGTGAAAAATTTATATTTTGAACGTTTAATAACAAATTCAGTTCGGTCATCATCTATTTTAATACGGCAATGAAACTCAAGAGATCTTCAGTGAAAGGATAACAATGCAGCGTTTGCGCTATTACATCTAAATATTTACAACATTAAAACAATTAATTTAATATGAAGTTTGTGGAACATGAAATAGACACTATAGCTTATAAAAAACCTAGAACATCCCCATAGCAAAACGATTTAAAACCATCAAGACAAAAATCACATTCCACTCACACCATATCAATTAGCATCTTAAATTCAAAAACACCAGTCTTATCCATTAATAAAACACGGCCAATATGTACAACTTATCCTTAATGACTTTTATAATAATACTAAATAACAGTGACTAAATTAAGAACTAAGCTAGACCGCAACAATTTTGCTGGGATCGACTTTTACTCTTAGAAACATGACGTCGTCTTTGACAAAGTTTCTCTTTTTGAGCATTTCGTGGGACACGAACCTGGGAAATCCGAAGCCTAGCGCGTCGGGTTCCTTCGATGGTCTTTGGAAGTTTTTCCACGTGGGGTCCGGCACGAAGCTCTCGACGATGTTGCAGGCGCGGTCGGGGCTCGAGCTCTGGTCGAACAGCGTGAAGGAGACGGAGTGCGCGAAGGGCCAGCGCAGCAGCGCGTCGTACTCGCCCGGTAGGATCTTGATGTACACGGACATGTGCGTCGCCTCGCCCGCGCCGTTGCCGTTTAGAAACAGTGATGCCTGTCAAATAAAATTTAATTATTATGTTGAGAATTTTGCATATATTATATACATTTTAACTAATGTTTTAAAGAGGCAGAATTTGTTTGTTTTTTGTTTGTGTGTTCGTTTATTTGTTTGTTTGAACGCGCTAATCTCAAAAACTACTAATCCGATTTTAAAAATTCTTTTTGCATTAGATATACCGTTTATTAAGGAAGGCTATAGGCTATATATCATATAAATTATAGTCTGTCTATGTCTTCCATACCTACTAATCGTTAAAACGTACCTAAGGATGAACCCGAGCGAAGCAAGGGCGAGTCGCTAGTTTAACAATAAAAAAAATCTTTAATTATTTTCTATGTCAATTCATTTATTGTATCCGACTAAAACGTATACTAAAGTTTCAACACGTGATACTTTAATTATATAACTAAACCAAAAACAAACTATATTAAAATGACTACATCATTGTAAGATGTGAGATGTCTTATTAAATCAAAACAAACAGAACCTTGAATCATGGTTATTAACAGCAACAAAAGAAACAGCTTCACTTAATAAATGTATATTTAGAAGAGCGGGGTGCAAGTGACTAAGCGATACTAATTCAGATATTGTAACTCGACGGTTAGTCACAAGTCACGATGTTATTCACGATATAAATATACCGTGTCCGTGTTTACAAACAAAAGGTATATTTTAAGGACTAATGAGGCAAGTATAGGTTTTAGTGTAATAAATGGTTAAAAAGTGAACGCTATGTAGTTTTTGTTTGAATATCAATGTATGGAAAATAGAAATATTTCTAAGAGGTTTTTATGAAAAGCTATAAGGAATCCAAAATATCAGTAAAAGCTTTCTAATATTCGCAGATTTTTTATATAGTAAGGTATCGACGCAAACGTTCACATCACTAGTGACAAACAAATTGACTTTAACAATTCATTAGTTCCAAATTTGAAATTATGTCAAATAGTGATTGAACATTAACTAATTTAATTTTGAAGGCTGTTTGTTTGTACAGCCTTTGTCTTTTGTAGATGAAGTGTATTAATACACAATAAGGTCAATTACATCATAAATCAAGTTATATTTCTTATTAAGAATATAACTCAGTTTATCAATCATCATAGACTACGGATAATAATTTTACAACGGTCATACGTGCAAATGTCATAGATAGTGGACTGAGTGTTTCTTTGCCAGCTGTCAGCTAAAAATGGCGGCAAAGCGATAGAGACAAACGAATGTGCGGCCAAAAGTCTTATGTATTCATTGAAATACGAATAATGTATACATTCTATTAAAATGTATTATTTTTTAATAAATTACCTACCTATAATATGTTAGTTTTTTTTACGTTCCATTTATAAATTCAAATTGGAATAATAGACAAGTATTGGGCGCACGTCCGCTTTCTCTTTCTAGACATGGTCACTTCACGAGAGTATTACTCAGTCCATTCTCGACGCCTATGCGTAGAGTACATCTAAAAGATATGAAGAATATGTTATGTTTATGAAATTACCTGCAACTTATATCCATACTGGCTCGTGTAGAAGGCGGGGGAAGTGAGTTCGAATCCCTCCTTGCACTTGGCCTCGGCCATCTTGGCGGCCCAGTCGTTGATGCGCCACACGAGCGCGCCCGAGTAGTTGCAGGCGAGGCGCGCGACGGCGGCGCGCAGCGCGTCCAGCTGCCGCGCCTGGCGGCTCGCCAGCGCCGACACCAGCGCCAGGTGCTGCTGCGAGCTCTCTTCCGTGTGTCTTTCTAGTGCTTGTCTTGTGCCCTGGAATACAATTATATTTATTTATTTGTGGCTTGGAAAATATATAACATTGAAATAGTTCACGAGATGATGATGATGATTTTGCCCTGGCACATTTTCTTTTTACTTTTTAATTGTTTTTATTGGGTGTAAGGGAAGTAGAAGTAATTATTTTCCAATATTTGTTTAATTATATGTGAGATTGTATATTGCGTTGGTTTGTCTAATTAATTAATAAAATAAATAAATAATAATGTATAGAACCTTTAGGCCATAAAGTTTTCACAATAAATACACACAGATACTGAATTCAAATACTAGAAATATCTAAAGTAATATCTAAACTTTTATCAAATTATATGATTTTTCAAACCTTGAACTTTGTTAAACCTATTATTGAACGAGCCACTATACAATTTATTATTAAAAATTAAGTTTTACATTTTAACATAATAATTATCAAATAATTTATTATATATCAAAAGAGAATTTATTGTAATTTATATATTACTAGCGGCTCACCCTCGCTTCGCTCGTGCGTTTTAAATAGATATAAATAGTTATTAGCCCGCGTTAGCCATATAGTTTTTTTTTTCGTTAATTTTTCATTTTTTCTTCGGTGGACCTAAGGAACATACGAAAAAAAATTTTGACGAATTGGTCCAGCCATTCTTGAGTAACTTACCAACATTAATTTTTATTTATATAGATAAAATAATAATTATACAACTTTAATAGTAGGTGCAATCTGTACATAAATTATTTATCAGTAACAAGTCCATTGCATAACATGATGTGTAATAACACATTTTATTGGTGTCAATGGCATGAAGTGCTTTATCTCTGTATGCACCTACATATCAAACTAAACTAAATATCATTTACTTTCTGTGAATAAATATGAGGTCCTCATTTAAAATCCATTTATTTAACAATTTTTAGCACATTGCTCTGTTTGTAAAGTACGTAAATGGACAAAAATAGCTTAGGGTTATATATATAAATATATGTCATATTATATATATAAATATGTTATCTAAATCATAATATGGCTTTTTCTTGAGCTGTTAGTGTTCAGAAGTAATATACACATATAAACTCACTCACTCACTCAATCCTTCTGTCACACATTTTATTCGCATTTACATGATCATCTAAAGCTTAAAATTCATCAAAAAATACCTACAGTAAAAATGAAAGAGACTATTTACTTACAAAACTATTTTTATATTTGTTTATGGTATTATTTATTATTTTTAATTAAAAAAAAATCCTTGGACATACCAGATAATTAAACCCCCCGCCCTCCCCTCTAAAACCCTTACACCCAAATACCTATCTCCCCTTAACCTAACGACTACCTCCTAAATCCCCAATCCCGTAAAATCAGCCATCCCAACAACCCCAACTCACCTTAAACCTGCAGCCCGCGTCCCTGTACCCGCAGGGCGCGGCGCCGGCGGCGCAGTGTTCGCGCAGGTGCGCGTCGAGCTCGTCCCGCGCCGGCGCCGCCGAGCAGCGCTGCGGGCACGGCACCGGCGCGCGCGAGCACAGCGCGCCGTGCGCCGATAGAGTATCCTGATCACATATAAATATGATACTCTTAAAATTCAAGCTTTTATTTCTATTTTGAAGTAAAACTTCTTTACGCACGCTCGACGTGAGGGATAAGCTGGCGAATGAACGGAAAGTGTAAATCGACGAGGGGAAAATGCCTAATATGCGTTATTTTTAGTATCTCACCAATCCTAATTATTTAAAACATAAATTAAATTTCATAAAGAGTACTGATAACCTACAGAAGTATTACTTCTTGCGCGTGTACACATTTATACACGTACTCTAAATTTTTCTTCATTTATAAGTTGCGGCTATGGAGTATAACAACCATGTCTGGCCTATTATGATCACCGATTTACACTTTCGATCGGGTGCGTATTTAAGTACCTTAAAGTACCTACCTATCTCAGTGCTAGATCCAGGGTGTATTAAATTTCATTCAAATTCGTCCAGCCATTTCAGTGGAAAGAGTAACAGAGTAACAGAGACAGTATTTGTCATAAATAAAATATTTCTATTCCTATAATTTTATTTTATTTAATATTTTCTTTGGTCTTCATTTTAGTTCTGTAGAATTCAACTCGGTACAATCAATGATAGCAAAATTGTTTTTAATAATTTTTTTTTTTTTTTTATAAATTTGGCATTTAAATAAATCCGATAAAATATGTCGTATTTATTCTGTAATAATGTATTTTTTTTTCATTTAACACTTTTATTTAAAAATCTTTAATTATAACATAAAAAGGTCACATACCTGTGTGTACCGCTGTCCGCAATGGCGACAGGGGACCAGCCGCTTGCTGCAGTGTTGCTGCGCGTGCTGCTGCGTGTAGCGTCGCTGCACTTTGGCCCCGCACTTGTTCTCGCAGTAAACAGGCTCGTGGCCACAGTTGTCTTGGTGATCCTGCGGAGACGTTAAAGATCGATTTAGTCTAAGACACTATACACGGTACACTCAGTGTGTACCTACACCGAGTGTCTGTGTGAATAATGCGAGTGTCTGGCAGGTTTAGTCTAAGACACTATACACGGTACACTCAGTGTATACACCGAGTGTCTCTGTGTGAATGCGAGTGTCTTTAATTGTGTTTATTGCGACACGATAATTGCTGTCGTATCATCGACTGTGTGAACGTTGTGTCCAAGTGTCTCATGTGGCTGAAAAGATTTCGAACTGGCTCGGCATTTTCAATACACCGCATCACGTAGAAGAGAATACTTAAAAATCAGTTTCACGTGGAGCAAGGAGCGTGAACACCTCGGACACAATTTCCATACATTTATGTACAGACACTACGCAGACACTAAAATTTAGTACAAGTGAACAGTACAGACAGTAATATAGACATTTATGTCGCAATTTATGTGGATGTCTAAACTTAGCTCAATAGGTACTTCTAAATAAAATAAACCCAACAAAAGTCCTGTTGAAATTACCTACTAATTTGTCAATCAGTCCAGCCATTCTAAAGCGATGCGCTTACCAAGGAACCACATTTAGCATTTTTATTTGTTTAATCTAATTTCTAATTTAATGATTATCATCATCATGCAGTCATATTTAGGAAATAGGCTATATTTAATAATAGAGCCGCCTATATATCCTAAATTGAGAAAATCAAGGCTAATAAATGAAAATGTTTACTAAATATTTTTTTGATACGAAAATTGAAAGAGTGACCTACTTTTTTCACTCATTTTCAATTCAGTAGGAATATAATAGAAATAGAAATTATCGTTTCTTATAAATATTAACATATTTAGTAGTTAGTTTGGTATATTGTCCCAGAAGGTTCCATATTATATGTATTTGGAATACCTATGTATAAGTACCTATATGTAAGTATGACTATTTCTTTCGTACGTTTAGTTACAATTTAATTCTTTAATAACCAAACAAAGATTCGTATTTGCATTAGTGATTAGATATATATTGATTTATTATATAGTCTAAAAAATGCCTTTTACGCATATTTTTGTACTCTTAAACACATTCATATTTTAAGCATTCTTAATTCATTTATCAAATTGCACATAACCAGGCAACAATTCCTACACATAAAATACCAATAACCAACCTCAAGTGCACTGCCCGAGAACTCCTTCCCGCAGTGCTCGCAGTTGGCGCGGCGGCGCGGGCAGGTGTAGCGCAGGTGGTCCTGCATGAGCAGACGCGGTATCATCGCCCCGCACTGTGCCGCGCAGAGCACCGCGTCGTGCTTGCACGTGTTGAGGTGCGCCTGGAATGTTTTATTTGCCTCTTTATCTATCTATAATCTTTATATATAAAAATCGATATATGTATGTATGTTCCCTATGAACTCCAAAATAGATTGAGCGATTTTGATGAAATTTTCAGGCAATCTTCAGATTATCCCAGCGGGTGATTCTGTGAAGTATGGTAGCGGGCGAAAGTTTGAACGCTGGCGAAACCGCGGGTACTGCTAAATGCTATTAGATATCATGATACCGGTAGTTAGTTTATAGATAATCCCGCTTTTAATTGGCTATTTCATAATACAAAACACTTGCGATAAAGGAAACGATTTTTTCTAACTAAATATCATCACAAATATACCTACATTTTTGTTTACAAATTATATTACAGGTAGGTCTTCACATACATCACTCTTTCATTAGGTGATGTATCTATTTGGTTTCAAACTTTTCACATTCTGTTGTAATATTGTATTTTATGAAATTTTCTCTTGAAAAACATAGGTACCTACTTAATTTTAAATAAAACTATCTTTTTTTGTTTTTTTTTTATTTTTGGTTCCCGACATTTCGAATGCTTTACAGCAATCATGGTTAAGGGAGAGACTAAAGTTTTAGACATCTCAAAGGTCAATGGTATATTTACTTAAAACGTCAAATATAAGAAAATAATAAATCTAAGAAAGTATTATGTGAACATAGTTTTAGCTCAATATGTACTCTCTGTATTTACATATCAGTCTATAAACTATTTCCGGTGCTCTAGAATGGATTCCGTAATCTCAAATTGATAGTACAACTAAAGAAAATAATTTACTATCCAACTGTATCAAATACTTTAAGATACTTATTTATTATTTTGAAATGATTTATATTTTATACTTTAACTTTATACCTAATAAAAGTGAAATTTCAAGAATAATATCAACGCTACTAATTAAATTGAGTATAAAATTTAATTACCAATCAAATCTTATTACTTTCTAAACTATGTCAATCGCAATTAAAAGCGTCTAGGTCGAACAAACAGACTAAATGAACCGAGTAAAGAACACACTACCTACAATCTACATACATATCTGTAGTAGGATCGTAAACATTAGAAATCTTTCCAGATATTTGGAGCACGTGTGACGACATTTGAGATAAAGAAATATGTCGAACTGCGTACGCGCATAAAAATGATCGATACGCGTATTTTATATACACAAATATTTAAACTCAAACTCACCTTCAACAGTTTGAGTTCATCTGACCACTTGCATCCTTCTTTGTGATGGATGCAGTACACCACTGATCCCATTATCGCCTTCTCCGACTCAGGGTCCGGGTATATCTGGAAACAAACACAGGCACTGTTAATAATTGAACGACTAAATATCCAGTACTTTGCCATTACAATGATATTTACATTATTCCTATTGAAAACATGGTTTGTTGTCACCTTCTTCAATTTATTTACTATATATTTGAACATTTTGAACGCTTAAAACGCGACGTCAAAAGGATAGCTTGCCGTTAAGACTGACGATACACGGGCGTTGGTAGAACGGATTAAATAGGACAGTGCGAACCAAAATAAACCAAAAGTGTAAGTATCAACCGTACCGTGCGTTCGAATGTGGAGCACATCGGAAATATGCAAAATGGCCGTATCGTTTAAATTGCGAAAAAAATCAAGCAGGAGCGCTCTCTGTCAGTGCCTGATACTAAATGCTCGCGTTCCCGTTCACATTACGTTATCTTTATGGGTGCAACGAACAGATGTGACCACCGTTCCCTCGTTTGTGTCGAGATAAGCGTGATTTTTCACTTTCCAAACCAGCTGGATAATGAAGCGGACAAATAAACTTGTTAGTTCGAGCTCTCACACGGTGAACTTCATTTTTCTTTGAAACCGTCCCACGCCATAAGAACTCAGTTAGGAAACAGATGGAATAACGCACTAAATTGTTTGTAAACAACGCTAGCTAACCATTCGCAGCATCCGAAACATCTTTCACTATCCCGTGGGACGTCAACGTGAAGGGACTTGGCATATACTTGTCAACACCTGTTGCGTCATCCAAACGCTCTTTCTTATTTAATTATACTCTAACACGCTAAGAGAAGCCAGCATTGGACGCGGTATCATTCATAAAAACGAATATGTGAACTGCACAGTGGTACGAGCGAGTCTATTTACAAACATTGATGCATGTGGTCATCGGCATAGCATAACCGTTGATCTCGCTATTAAGTCAGATTGAATGCTTAATACGGTAGCACATCATACGACTTGATATCTAATAAACTTGTATAATAGAAGTGATAGTTCCTTGTAGTGGTTGAAAGGATAGATCCTCTTAAAGTCAGCAGAATATAAATTTACAAATATAGAATGTTATTTGTGTCGTTTTCTAAAAAGATGGACCGCGATGTGTTGAACTCTCCCGCATCGCTCAATTATAGAACGCGTTGTACCATGAATAGTTTACAAGAGAAACGTCGTATAACCCTACGAGTATAATTTAAATATCATTTGGGGTGTTCTCAAAATCTACTCGTAAGATGTAAAAAAAGACAGATGGGAATGAATGTTTCTAAATTTTGAGTGTCGTATTAATTAAAATATTGCGTTACATATTTCGAGGACACGGTTGGTTTTATTTACTTTTTTAATGAGTAATTTAATCCAAACGTACCTACTTGATAGGGTTTTATAACAAACTTGTTTTTTTTTAATATCTTAATATATTGCAATAACTAAAAAGTGCATAAATAAATAAGAGCTAAGATAAAATATAATTATGTAAATACTTAGATAGTGAAAATGGTTAAGGAATGCAGTCAAAGTAGACGAGAAATACCGCTCGGACCTCACACCGTATGAAAACGAAATCTCCTATATATATTATACTACATACATATATAACTTCAATTAATAATAAACATATACAAATTTTTACTATATAAGTGCACTCTAAAGTTTCTTTAACTATAATCGCTTCAAGATTCTACAATATTATTTAATTTTGTATTGCAGAGATTCATATAAAAAAAATGATAAAATCTGTTATGCACGAATAATTCGGTATCTTACGTTGCACGCGCCATCTATTGTGCGTTGATGATACTATTTTTAAAACCTTTGAAGGAGTGTTAAGTACACAGATAATCCCCCCCCCCCTGTGACACCCCTAGTATATGAGAAGATCCCTCCCCCCCATCGCGCTCCAGTTTCACCTAGAAATTCATAAATATAGTTTTAAATATTTTTTTGTAAAAATAAAGTAAAAAAAAAATATTTGGCTCATATTTGTCTATTAGGATCCATCAATCGTGGTATTTTGAAGACCGCCCGAGACCGAGACCTCCGAAATCTTCACTCCCAAAGGGATACACCGGAGCAAAGCAGGTGTAAGCCGTTAGTAGTTTATAAAAATTTAAATGTGACTGGTATATAATATGGCTAGGTAATTTATACAAAATAGGTAATTTTATGAAAGTTTTACTATATAAATTGCAAAATTCCTTACAAGACAGCCGTTGCAGAAGTACGTGCCTTAGCATCACATTACTTGACTCGTGAATCTACAACTGGTTTTACGGAATAGGAATAAAACGCACCGACAAAGTAACCGCCTACGATATTATAATTTATAATTGCAATCACCCACGCGGCTAGATGGCCTTTGGTGGACCTTGTCGAAAAATTCGGATTTAGTTTTGTGAACATTTGTGCAATAGTTTATCTTTATCTCCTTTTTTTATTGCTATGCGGCAAAATTGTTTCTACTATAAGGCATTGATAATATAAGAATTATATCGTTCTATATCAATAAGTACTTTAACAAAATTTATATAATAACTTCAAAGTCACTTTGTTTTTTTTTATTAATACGACACCACCCTTAGGGATTTCCTGTTGTATAATATATTAATAAAAATAAAAAATAAAAAATTACCGTGTAATTTAAAAAAATAAATTTATAAATTTTCATTTAATTAAAAACTTGTAATTTAAAAAATTTAAAAACTTTTTGAAATCGGTCAAAAGGCAAGGAACTCGTCCATACAAGTTTTTGAGCACACAAAAAGTTTTTTATATAAGAAATAGTGTTATAGTTGCCATATTACAAATAGATACATAATGTAGAAACACGAAAACGTCTTTCCTTTTTTAAATGCCATCTAAATTCTTCTAAAAGCTGTGAATTGTCATTTTTCCAATACGTACCTACGAGTATAAACATCCATTGTTGGTCCACATAATGAACAAAACCATATTTGAAATAATACTTAATAGGGAAAATACGGAACAAAGATGCTTTTGTGAGCGTCTATTTTTAATTAACGACATCGCTCTTATTAATGTTAAAATAACTTCTGATTTTATCAAAAATGCAACAGGTTCTTGTTAAAACAAGTATTTTTAGTCTATTACTAATATTGATCTAGAGTAATACATAGGTTACTGTTAGTTATAAAATCTACCACAAGGTGTCGCTGCCTATATGTTACATTGTACAGATATAATATTATAAAGTCTAAATAAAACTACTGCTAAATCTAATACCATAAAATAGTACGAGTTTTTAGAAATAAAAATAGACACAATAATTTTATATAGTAAAAAATATTTATGTATACATATATTAATAATAATTAGAGAGCCGGATAGGACTGCCCAATAAATGTGTAAATGTGGCAATTGTACGTATTTCAGCTTAAAGCTTTCTGTTGAAATTAGCTCAATTGGGCACGTGCAGCTTATAATTGAAAGATATTTTTAAATCATAATTTAGATGATGAGAGAGATGAGTTCTTGTAGTTTTAAATTTTAATTTATGATACGTATTCCGTAGTTATTTGAAAGAACCTACTTTTCCATGTATATGAATTAAAAAATATACCTTATAAAACTATCTTAAAACTATAGTTTCGATGACACGTCTGGCTCAGTTTGTAGTGACCCTACTTGCTGTTCCAGCGGTCGTAGGTTCAAGTCCCGCTGGGGGCATTCATATGTGTGATGAGCACGAATGCTTGTACTCCAGTCACTAAACTAAATGGTGCTGTGTGTTAATGTCCCAACATATTAATTTATTATTTATATAGTTGCCTGCTCATTAGGAGCTAGACTAAAAATACACACTTTAGTACATATTTATCTTATCAGTATATTTTGGTTAAAAATTGTTTATTTACGTATTGTTACTAAATAGCTTGTTATGACAGCGTAGGGCAAGGGCCTGGCCCTGGAGTTAAACAGTGACGTAAATTAACACGGCGAGTTTACAGTATACCTGAACTTGAGTGTTTCAAAATGTACGTGACGAGTGATGGTAGATTCAGGAATGTCTTGGATAAGGCTGTGTTCACACAGATATATCCCTCATGTAAATAAGGCTTGGTGCAGACGCGTATTGTGTATATTTACCTAAAAGACACAAGTTCGACGTTCGTGTTAGGTTTTCTTGTAATAGCTATTAAGTATTGCTTAACACAAAAGTATCAAATAAATTAATATCTTATAATATATAATATGTACAATGTACATAATACATAATATGTATATAAATTTATTTCGTGTATCTCGGACACGACTCTAACGATTTGCATCAAATTGTGTAATTAGATAAGGTTTTTTTCTGAAAAAAACGCAATTTTTATATCTTTTATTATTTATGGAATCTAAGTAGGTACTATTTGCATTAATAAATAATTATTAATTTTATTAAAATACATATCTTAAAAATGGTACTAGGTGATCTTCAACTTTACCTAACAGCTTTTTAACGGTTTTAACTTGTTAAAATATTGGTTAGGATTTTATCGAAACACTTTGCAATTTATGGTATAACAAATTACTGGTTTTTAAGCTAAGTTAATTAATTAAACTCAAGGTTAAACTAAATAAACTTCTTAGAAATTTAATAATCCTATTATTACACTAAAGCACTTCTATTTATACATCGTCCATTAAGAAATTCTGGACGAAACATACAAAGAGGTCAACAAGTAACTAACAAACACAAGTTAAAAAGATCACGATCATTATCTGTAGGCGAGCGGAAGCGGGTTCGATGCCCGGCGCGAGGGCTAGCGGAACCTTACTGTGGAATATGTAATGACTTGTACGCTCGTAATTATGTATATTAGCCACTATTTACTATTGATTGTGGTTGAAGTGTGTATATGTATTAAAATCTAGATATTTATTTTTTTGTTTAGAACGTCTTATTTAACACTAGCAACTCACCCTCGATTCGCTCGGGTTCTTCCTTAGTGAAAAAACAAATACAAATCTATCCCACAGAAACCATACATTTTCTGGGATAAAAAGTACCCTTACAAAGGTTATCTATTCCAGGTTATAATCTATTTCTGTGCCAAATTTCATCCAGATCCGTTCAGCCGTTCTGCCGTGAATGAGTAACAAACATCCAAACTCAGAAATTTTCACATTTATAATATTAATAAAATATATTATAT